TTTTTAAACACTAAATGATTTAGCGCAATTTTTTTTTCTTTTTTTCAAATTGCATTCTGTTAGTCGTACCTGAGTCGTACAAGTTCAAAAAAAAACCTTCCTTTCAACATTATGAAAAAGAATTTAAAAAAAAAAAAAAAATATAAAAAGACCCTAAACCCAAATGTTATTTCATTTAATTTTTTTGTCTATTTTTTTTTTTTAAATATTTGGTCCCACATCGATTTCGTTTCATTCAATACAAGGATATGTGTCAAAATCCACAAGTTTTTTTTTAAAAACATGCAAGCAAGTTTGACCCGGGGGATTTTTTTTTTTTTTAAAATTCATTCCTTAATTCTTTAAAATATTTCGTCGTTTTTTTCCTCTCTCGTTTCGAAAGTAAATAATTTTTTAAAATAAATACGTACCCGAATAATAATTAATAATATTTGACGTGAATCCACTCGATCATTCACATAATTTTTTTTTTTTTTAAATAAATAAAATTTAAAATTTTGGTTGTTGAATTACTGTTAGAGTCGATCACTGAAAACAAATAAAAATAATTTAAACAAAATAATAATAATAATAATAATAATAATAAAACGATAAAACAAAAAATATTGATAATGTCGGCGAACCGGGTCTCACTATTTCAATGATGTGATCCTTCCTGGCTCCTAAAAACCTAACAGTACGAATGAAACGTTCAACTTTTTTTTTTTTTTCAAACTCTCAAAATGATTTTTTGTCTTTTTTCTATTCAATCCCCCACCCCTCTTCCTCTCTCTCTCTCTCTTTCTCTTTTTATTTAGTTAACAAAATATTTCTATTATTTATTAATAAAAAAAAAAAACTTTTTCAGTGATGTGAATTATTTTTTTTAAAAGAATTTTTTTTTTGTCTCTACTCACTGATTAAATTAAAAAGGCGTACCTGTCTACTACCACATACCTGAGGTTTAATGATTATGTAAAAAGAAATAATAAAAATTCAAACCTAAAATAAAATTAAAATAAATTTTTATTTTTATTTTTAAACGACTCGACCTCAACACAATTTCTTTTTTTGCCTTCAAATTTTAGTTTATTATTATTATTATTATTATTTTCACATATAGTCACGACAATTCGTCTTAATGTTTGTCGGAGCTTTTTTAACATTTATTCCCGGTTTCTACTTGCCGATCCCTAAGGAATAAATGCCTGAATTTTTGTGATGCTGCATGCCTGATGGATGGGTTCCATCATGTTGCAGCCTACGACATCACAATAATTCTTGTAAGTCTCGCTGAGCTGACCATCTTATTCGATGGAAACGAATTATTTCATGTACTCCTGGGCTCCAGTCAGTGATTGACATCTGTGGAGTGGCCAGGAACAGGAGAAGTGAGATACACAACCTTGCAGTGCTGATCAAGGTTGACAATAGAAAAAGATTTGCCTTTTGGTTTTGTCTTTATCTTCTTCACATTTTGCTCTATTGCAATTATGAATCAGACATCATATAACTTTTTTCTCAGAACTATTTTAAAACTTAATTTTCCTACTATTTCCCCCTTTCATAATTTTCCCTCAACGCATTTCATTTTTAATGTATGCACACAGTATACAAATTACAATTATGTACCTATAAACTTAAGTAATCTGAAGGCAGTTGAATTTTTCTAATCCTAATTGAAATTTTACACGAAAAATATCGAAACATTTGACCAAAAGTATCAGAAAAACATAAGATCCAAGGAGGTAAGGAGTAAAATAAAATACAACTTTGGATTTCCGCTTTAGGTAAAATGTAAACATTGGGTTCCCGCATAAATAAGATGTAAACAGTAGATTCCCGCTTAAATAAAATTTAAACAGTGTATTCCCTCTTAAAATCATAATTTTACAGTAAAAATATTGAAAAATTTGCTCTGATGTACCA